ATAATTTTTTGAACAGAATATGCCAAAGATTTTGGCAGTGGTGGTCATGGAGAAAGTATCTCCATCCATTCTCGGCAGCGAATCGATGCTTGCCGTCATCTCCAAGAACAACTCGGACTGGATAGCACCCAATCCGAGTATATATATCCAATCTCTCCTCCCGTGGATGATAGCGAGAAGGAATGACCTGTAAATCATGAAATCGAGATTAAAGCCAAGCATGCATGTGTTAGTCATATGCATTCAAATGAAATCTTACCGTGCCGGTATGAGCATCCCTTTTGATGACCACAACGAAATCTGATTACTGCATTTTTACTCCCAGCGGCGTTGGAGAGTGTTCGTGAGGGTATAAAGAGAGGGAGTCGCAGTCGAAGCGTTGGAAGCGGTGGAAGCGGCGGAAGCGAAGCGACGAGAAAAGAAGAAGAAGAAGAAGAAGAAGAAGAAGAAGAAGAAGATAAAGGTTGGAATTTATGAGAAATTTTGACTTTTCAATTCTCATCTGACATAAATGTGGCATGGGACTCAAAGAAAATTATTTCGTACAAAATTTCGTCTATATTTAACAAAATTTTGTCCAATTTTGTCTTTGTTGTATCTCTAATTTTGTACATTTTGGAGAAATACGGAACCATACTACATTCCCAATGTTGACTGTAATTTGGACAAGTAGGACCATTACTATGCGCTGATCAATATTGTAGTGGAAAAGTAGTCTTGGTGGGGGGACCTTGTTTCTAGATTTTTTATATATTTTTATTTTTAGATTTTATATCAATATTTCTAGATATTATTATTTTTTCTATTTTTTTATAATACTCTTCATTAACACAGTCTGAAGTACGACCTTGCTACAGTCATCCTCTTAACTGGACTGCTACATCCACTATTGTCCCAACTTAGTTGTTAACACAAACAGGTACGAATTTAATACAGTTATCCTCTTAACTGGACTCCTACATCCACTACGGTCCGAACTTAGTTGTTAACACAAACAGGTAAAGACCTCTTAACTGGAATGTTACATCCACTACGGTCTGAAGTTAATTCTTAATACCAACATGTAAAGACTACCCCTACAGTTATCCTCTTAACTGGACTCCTACAGTTATCCTCTTAAGTTATCCTCTTAACTGGACTGCTACATCCACTACGGTCCGAACTTAGTTGTTAACACAAACAGGTAAAGACTACCTTGCTACAGTTATCCTCTTAACTGGACTGCTACATCCACTACGGTCCAAACTTAGTTGTTAACACAAACAGGTACGAATTTAATACAGTTATCCTCTTAACTAGACTCCTACATCCACTACGGTCCGAACTTAGTTGTTAACACAAACAAGTA